GATCGCGATATTATATTTAATCACGGCAAATATGCTTAGGATATATCCTAGGTTGGCATGGGTAATTGGAAGAATTACTTAGCTTTTCAGTTAATTTTTGTGTTATTGGGGGCACCAAGAGGTTGGTGCGACAACATTTGGGGTTTTGGCTATTACATAGCGCAGATCTCTCACTCGTTGGTCTGTCATGGAAACGAGGTTATATAATAAGACCTTGCCTTTATTTCCAAATGCATCAGAGAAAAATACTCTCTTTTGGTAATGATTGCGCGCGGGTTGGAGGCGACAGTCGGATTTTGTAGATAGTTGAACTCGTACATAAGAGTTTTTATCAGGAAATGGTTATTTGGGCGGACTTCTGTATAGGAAGCACTGTATTTTAGAGGAAGGTCAATTTTATGTATCACACTGACTTTTCATGGATTTTGGTTATAAATTTAGGCAGCAGCCTATTGCTTAGCATTACCAATTCGTTAGCGCTGGATGCATAGGAATTTATACTTCTTTCTATGGAACTTGGAGGAACAGGGATCGTTACCCTTCATTAAATATTGGGTAAGATTAGATTGATGGTAGATACAATCTAGAAGTTGTACATATACGGTATTTCTTAAACATAAAAACCTTGTATATTGTTGGATGTGTTGGAATTTGGTAGAGCTCATCTAAAGGGGTTGTGCCACACGAAAATAGAAATGGATTTTGCAAAGACATTAATTCAGAGTTTCGTGAATTCCGAGGACAGAATTCCTTTTGTTAGGGGAGAAGAATGTAATACCTCTAGTTTTCAAAAGGATAAAATGGGAATTTAATTTTCAATATTAATTTATATTTCATTTTTTTTATTTAATTATTGGACTTATTTGTTTAAATTAATTGTTTTATTTGCCAAATTGATTTGTTATTATTTGTGTGTGTTTAATTGAATTGATGAATTGAGATTGTTTTAATTTAATTATTTGATAGATTGTTTTAATTATATTATTTGAATTTATTTAAATTAATTGCCTTAGTAGTATGTCACTGGTTGACTGTTTATAATTATTTAAATTGTTTTAAATTATTAGATCTTAAGTTAGGGTTGCGGATTTTACGTATTGCCGACTTAGCATTAGTCGGTTCTTTTCCGTAGTGTATTAAGATTAGGGTTATAGATTTACTGAGTCTATAAATATGTTGTTACGTTAGGCTTAGGGTTTTGAAAGCAATACAACCTTAGTCTGTTCACATAAAAACAGACTTTTCACCTAAAACATAGAGATATAGAGGGAAACGGAGAGTGATCTTGGGTGATTCACAAAGCAGAGTCAAGGAGGGGAGTTTGGTGTATGCTACTGGGTTGAACTAGGAGCAGCAGAGGTCGTTTAATACAACCGACGTTGCCGGAGTTGATAGAGACGACAATTAGAGATTTTAATCTAAAGTCTCAAAGACAAGTATCTGTTCTTCTCTTTCCCTTGAACTTGTGATCTGTGCATGCTTAGATGGACTCCATGAGTTTAAATAAATGCCTAAACAAACGTTTATGTATGCTTGATTGATAATTAGACTCGTTGAATGAAGCTGTTTCACAAAATTCTTAAAGTCTCTGTTTGTTTGGTTCTTTTTGTTTATGCGTTTAAGCTTTGCTATTTGAGATTAATGATACATATGGATGGCTTGTAGTTAGTCTGGAAGGTTAATTAGATGTTAGAATAAGAATTTATTACAGTGCAGAGGGCTGGAACATCACTGGAGTTGAAGGAGACGAAGCTGAAACAGACGAGGGCTGCTAAGGGGAGGTTGAGCAGTCTCCCAAAACCTTAGAGCCGGCTCCCAAAGAGGGGGAGCTGGTTCTAGAAGCATTGGAGCCGGCTCTTAGGGACCTAGAGCTGGCTATAGGTCATTTAGAGTAGGCTCCCAATTTTGGGAGAGCCTGCTCTCTCCTTAGGCTGCAACAGATTTGATTTTAGGGGCTGTTTGGCTCTATAGGGTATTTGCACTTCGTTTAACTTGTTTTAAATGATACTTAGGACTGTAACAGACTTGCATTATGATGAAAAAACACTAATTCATAATTGGACTAGGGAATGAAGCAAGTTGCAGTTAAGGAACAATGGTAGAACGTACACTTTTTGGTTATTTGAATTGCTTACTGAAACTTGAAATGGAGAAGACTTTCTTTGATATGGAGAAGGTTCTCCTTGAGATGGAGAAGGCTCTTTTGTTTCAGAGCCTTCTCTTTCTCTTGTTAAGACGTAAAATTGATACTTAGGGTCTGTTTGGCTGAACTGGGGTTTGTCTAAGGTTGTCTGGATGCTACTAAAGAGTGTATATCATTGCTAAAGACTTATAAAAATATTGGGAAGCATGGTTATATTCAGACATTGTAGATAGAAGTAACCTAAGGTTAAAAGTGAACTTGTATGTGGATGGTTGGATTATAAGCTTGTAATTGCTTATTGTTTTAGGAATTTAACTTCTCTGCATGAACTGGAATGGTTAATCATATTCTCATCTGTGTTATAAGCATGTAATGGTTTCAATGCATGTATGCTTAGATGGAAGTAATTGAAGTTTAAATTTGCTGTATTTTGTATCAGTTAAAGTATTGTTTGGAGGAGTTAATTTCTTAATCATATTTTACAAATTGAAAGGACTAGAATAGGATGTTTAAATCTTATTTTGGTTGCATGCTAGGATCATTTAATTAAAAAGTTTGATTTATGCATATCTTGGATGTTAATGGTTAAAATACTATATTCTTTTCTGTAATTACTTGGACTATGGATTTGGATTTTAATTGTTAGACTATCAAACTGTTTATGCAATTACTTGGATTAAATGCTTGGATTTTAATTGCTGGATTATTAAATTATTTATGCAATTACTTGGATTATGGATTTGAATTTTTATTGCTGGGCTATTAAACTGTTTTAGCAATTACAGGGATGGTATTTTGGGATTATAGTTGATGTACTGTTTTAATTCTATTTTATTAACTATTTGGATTATGTCGATTTATGTGATGTACTGAATGTGTTATTGCGTCATTTACGGATCATATGTATGGTATGCACCGGTATGGGACGGTGGTATGCGGAGGGACGGATTAGATCAAAACGCTAATTCCAACCCATTCATACATACAGAATGGATTAACTAAAACAATTAAATTCTATATGGTTTCATGTCCTATCAACTAAAATAGTTGAACGACATATTGGATGGTTGTTTATATTTTCTGTTAATAGGAAGGATAGAGATTTAATTAAAACATTTAAATCCTCAATTTATGTCGTGTCATGGCAACGAACAGTTGAGCGGCACTACATTGGTTTGGATGGGAGTTTATATATACAAATTATGGTACCACGATCTCAGCTTGAGTCTCATAGTCGACGGTTAGGGAGCGTATATGCAGTAGGAAGTGTAGCTAGCTATGTTGGTTGAGGTATACTCTGTTAGGCTTAGGAAGTCATGTCCACTCAGGTGCGTTTTGCATGTTGCCTTCTATTCAGGTTGAGACCCTCAGCATAGTCTAATGAGAGTCCTATAGTGTGGATATATATTTATCTATATGGACTACTATAGATATTGTTGAGTCTATCTAGGATATATCTGCGTATCGGGTTTATGTATGGATCGTAGTAAAATAGGACTTGCATGTGGGCCTGACCCACTCTCTTATTTTTAAGGTGTTCGATAGTACCAGGCTTAGAGCTTGATCGTGTTGATGCAGATACTGATACTCATTCTTCCAGTTACATAGGATTTCCTTTCTGTTTTAATTTTGGATTTTAATTCTGTAAATTTATTTAAGGATTTGGGATTAGGGGTCCACTAGGTGGATTCCCGAGTTGTACGGATTTAAATTATATTAATTTATTATTTAAGGTTAAGAATTTTTATTTTAGTTTTCTTTCAGCGCATTATTCTTTTATTTTTAATTCAGTTTTTATTCTTGCTTGTTTACATATTGATTGTTTGGTATCCCTCATATCTGTGCTCGGACTTGATCACCCGTGGCTCTAGAATCGAGGGGTATCACACCTTATGTAATAAGCTTTCAGCCAATGACTCCCAAACCAGATGGTCTTAGGGCATTAGGTTTCATAACACACCCATAAGGACTTAATTGCTCAAACAATTTAGGTACAAACTTGAACTTAACCTTTTTCTACTTCTTCTTCTTCTTTTTTTATTTTTTTTATTTTTTATTTTTATTTTAATTTTTTTACATATATGCCTTGGTTATCAAAATCTTCAAATTCACCTGCTCATTTCAGTTTAACGCAAAACAAAAGAAGACTTCTAGTTTATATCCCACAGAATTCATGCAAGTGTGAATATATGCAAAGTGGAGTATGTCAGAGATCAATATCATTGAACAATAATCATCTTAACAAAGTGGACCACAGGCCACCAACTAATTTAAAATTTTTTCAAGAATTCCTTTTAAAATTATATTGACATACAGACCATTTCTAATCAACATCAGACTACAAAAAGAATAACTGACAATCAACAGACTCAAAATCATGCTTGTAATATCAAATTTCAGAACCTTGTGTTATTCCATCAAAAATTTTGAATTCCCTTACCCCCAAACTTAATGTGCACATTGTCCTCAATATGTGAAAATAGAAGGGAGTAAGAAAGATATTACTATAAAACTAGACCAGCAAGGATATACCTAAATGAAGCACGGAAGGGCAAAATAAAGAATCACCCCCATACTTAGTCTGTAGTACTTGGCAAAATCAACAAACTCCAACACACATCAGAGTATCAAGTATATGGAGTAATAACAGAGAAATATCATATAGAACTCACATAACAACACAAGTATAAGATAATCCAAAAAGCATGTATATAAATGATCAGAATCAGTATAATGTTTTTTAAATAACAGAGTTAGGGCATAAATATAGTATCGAGAATGAAATACATCAAAAATACTACCATAGTCAACAAAAGTGCCTATCTAACAAAAGAAAATACAAAAAAGCCCTAAACAGCTAATCCATATGAGGTAGAGGAGTATCTGTAGAAATAGAAGGGGTAGACGGAGTGCGGTGTAATAGCTCCTCAAGAATGCTCTGCTGTGCAGTCACCATCTGTCTCAGCACTGTTTGTCCATCCTGTAGCTCTGCCACCCTGACCTGTAATGCTCTAATCTCAGCCTGAGAAAAACTCTCAGGTTGTGCTGCAAGAACTGGCCTCCTCGTAGGTGGTGCCTGGCTATCAGAGATATCCATCTCATCCTCTGTAGCCTCATTATCATCATCATCCTCATCCTTATCCTCCTCCTCCACTGCTACATCTGCACGGTCAGCTGAAAGAATAATAGGTGGAGGTGGGTAAGGTGGTCCATCTAGCACATATGGCACCCCTCTAGTCTCGGCATCTAATCGCTGTCGATCTTCTCGGATCTCATCGTCAACCCCCCACTCCCTGCATCTGGGCTTGGGCATATGCCCCCAGACATCGTTCCATTGAGTGAAATGATATTGAGTGAAGATGGTTATGGTAGCCTTATTCGGGGGGTAATGGAACCCCCGAGATCTCCTTCAGGCGAGTAACGAGACTGTGATGACTACAAATGTGTACCACTTTAAAAATACCACTTATAACGATATCACATACATCAATGTAGATTAATGCTATAGTAAGGGGTTATCGAACCACAAGGATTGTTAGTTTATGGCAACCAAAATTGTAAAATTACTTTTTAGTTTGATAAAAGAGATGATAGTTTGATTAGTTTGTCACTTAAACTATGAATTAAAATTTGTATAAAAACAATAAATAAAATGAATAGAATGGATTAAACTTATAGAGAGAAGGCTGGGGAATTGACTTCACCTTAGCCTCATAAACATGTTAACTTGTACTCAACTTGGGGATAAACAACTATATATATAAAATGATGTGTAGAAGTATAAAACAACCACAACATCTTCAAGAAAATCATACATTTCAGGACTAAGTATAACCCATCTTTGGTTGGCATGGTTCATCCACCTAAACTAAGTTGTGGTATGAACCATCTTCCCTAGGCATAGCCTATCAAGGTCTTTCAATTATATGTTGCAGCACATGAAATCAATTATCTTCAGTTGGTACAGACCATCTACCTAACTAAATTCTCAATTACATGCTAATATAACCATTTCATAAATTTATTCCCATTGTCACTATAGGAAATCAAGTGCATAATTGTGTCAATATGATTTCTAAGGCAAGATAAACATATCAACATAACTATATATTCACATGAAAACACATACATTAATTCAATATAAAAACACATTAATTCAATGTAAACACTTTTAATTTTTGAAATCAAAAATATATACAAGAAGAATCCCCAAATTGAAATAGCAATTACAACATATTTACTTAGCCTAGGTTATATCTGTAACGACTCAGGTTTTTTATTCAACCTGGTGCAACAGTAATGAACCGAAGATCGACCCGATAACGGATCCAGATGCTGAAGTAAGAAACAAAACAATGGTCTTCTAAGGCATAACACACCTCTAAGACCCCAAGATGACCTTCCATGAGGTATCAGAACTCAAAGAAACAACGTGTGAAGGCAGAAGATAAAAAAAATAACAATTAAGCCCCCAGGGGTAAAGTAGTCATTTTTGAAAGTATGGATGCAGATGCCACCGGGTACACCACTGGAAGGACACCAAAAAACTAATCAAGATAGACTTAAGAATCACATGATTTGGAGTCCGATCGAAGGAGAAACGACAGGATGAAGAAGAGCGGGCTAAACCCGTTAATCAAGGGCAAAATGGTCAATTTGCAACCATGAGGAGAAATTTGACTCCAAGCAAGTAAAATGAGGTCTACACAACCTATACTAATCATTTCATAACATTCCAAGAGGTTCTAAGAACTTTGGACATGAACCCCTCGAAACGCCCTTTCCTGGTTCAAACCAAATCCCGACACTACTTCACTAAAACATAAAGAACTCTTGCTGTGATTTGAATCTGAGAATGAAATTAGTACCATTAGAAAGCTAACTTAAAATCCATGAATTTAGGTTCAATAATCACCCTATTTGGGTTAGAAACGAAGAAGTTATGGCCATTTGAAGTCGGAACTTCAGTGTTGGAACAAATTTGGAAGTCAGGCGCGTGGAGCGACTTTCAGTCAACTGAAATAGAGGTGGTGTGAGTTTCAGTCGACCAAAACTCATAGAATACTTTATGAACAGTGATTTTTTAGGGTTTCCTTGTTCGGTAGGCCTTTTTGGGCCATCGGTCGACCGAACTGGAGTTTCGGTCGACCGAAACTCCTTGAAAAGCTGCTAAATGACCTGCCAAGCATATGAATTGTTGAGGCTTCACCCAAGCCTCAAACCCCAACATGAATGTGGTCCAAAGACAAGGTTTTAAAGCTATAAAAGCATGCTCACAAGTGTACTTTATATATGGGAAAATGTTATAATGGCTCATGGCCTTATTACACAACATTTACAAAATTTGACATGTCAAACCTCCAAAGTTGGTAAAAATACATTTTTAAAGCAAAGTTTGATACCAAGTGAATACAAGTATAAGAATAAACATGCTTGGCCCTTGGCCTCTTGTCATACATATCAAATACATTGAAAAGAGTGTACTTACGTACACTTTACATAAATGGAATCAAGAATACATGTTTTGACATAAAAAGCTACAAAAATGGCATTTCATGTAAACACTTGCGTGAAATGGAAACTTGAAGCTACAAGCCACCCCCATGTTCGACAAGCATCACAAACCTAGTCTTCGTACCTGAACAAATCCCCCAGTAACTTTGGGGTGAGTAAACAAGTTTACTCGTAGATAATGAGCATGCATTGACTCGATTTCTTTCAGATTTTTAAACTAACATGAAACAATTCAAAAGGGTCATGCCACCTAATGTCTATGTCAAAGGTTAGATTCAGGGAGCATCCTAAGCTACCATAGAGCAATATCAATAAGAATCATGATATATATATATATATATATATATATATATATATATATATATATGAAACAAATCAAGGTTGGGATAATCCAAAGAACACGACAAGAATATACTAGAGCACAAGGATCACATTTTCAATGCAATTTACATGATCGGGTTATACCATTTAACACGACAAGAAGCATGCTCGAATATAAGTTAACAAGAATTACATTATAAATGCAATTAACATGATTGGAGCATTCCAATTAACACGATAGGAGTAATACACGAAATTAAAGACAAGGCATAATATCTATGTAATGAAACAAGGATGAAACATCCCACGAAACATGAAAAGAGTTATACATGAAATCAAGAATAAGACATAATATCTATGCAATTAAACAGGGATGGAATATTCCATAAAACACGAAAAGAGTCTTAAATCTTCAATTAATACAACACTTGAAATTTAAGGAGTAAAATCACGAATGAAGCATAAAATCTATGCAACTAACAAGATTGGTGCATTTCACATAACACGAAAAATTTTAAATCTTCAAGAATAGCAACTTGAAATTTAAAGAGTGAAATCAACTAATGTGGAAACTCGGATATCACTCGGATTAAAACCGTACTCTTGAGATCACTTTAGAGCTACTGACCCATGGGTACCTTTCCCCTAGTGCGCACTATAGTTGTAGAGGGACATTCCTCCGTACTAGAACCAAGTCCTAGCCATGTCAGTTCTTGAATGATATCCCAAGTCCCAAAATCAACAAGTTGTGCAAACCAAGATTTTGGAACACACAAGTCACGCCCTAGATTCACAACTATGATGGCATGTGAAATGTCAAGAAATCAAGTGTGCATCAATATAGACTAGAACCAAGATATATAGCACAATAAATTCATTGAAGTAAATTTACCACAAGTATAAGATACATGATTCAATTATTTACTAAACAACACATGTGTAATTAAACCATTCCAAGACAAATGTACAAGTCTATGAAGTACATTAATGAAACCAAGATACAAGGGGTCACGATGCTTGATAAAAAGATACGAGTTCATGAAACAAGTACAATTCACAAGTTTAACAAGAATTCAATATCAAGGCATGATTAACTCGATGGAAGCATACAAAAGAATTTAATCTACTTAAGGGATTAAATTATCAAGATTTTAGGGTAAGTCCAATTGTCCCACGAACAAGGCATGTCAAAGGTCATGTCAAGGACAAGTTTAATATCAGGTTACAAGTCCATTTCATATAAGACACGACAATGTGAATTAAGCTCATAGAACTATTGGATGGATTTTAATTAATTCTTTTAATTAAAATCTCTAGATTTTGAAACTCACCCAAATGGTCTCAAGTTAATGTATATTATACAACATGTCAAGACTTGGTTTAAAAACATGATACAAGTGCATTCTATGCAAGTTACGGTCATGAGTATTAAACTTTAATACTAGAAAAATAATAAATGAAAGGTTTCAAAACCTAATCAAATATTCTAGATTTAATATATATGAAAGTATATGGCATACATATCAAGAATATGAAGTCGGAATTCAAATGAAGTGAATAGTGCACATGAAATAAATTAATTAATCAATTAATTAAATATTCTCTAGATTTCAAAACACCTCTGATTACTCTCAAATTCACCTATGTTGAAGAGCATGCTAGGGCCTAATATAATATGCTAACACACATTGATTTCAAGCTAGTTAAGGCCACATGAATTAATCTTTCACTTAAGATAAATATTAAATAAAATCTTCATTTCTTGTCCAAAAGCTCTCAATTTAATATATGACTGTCAAGGGGTAATATTCTATCATGTCACATATTTAAAACAAGCTATGGACAACCGAAAAAATTAAATCTTACACAAGGAAATAATAAATCAAAGTTTCTAGATTTGATACATAATCATGTAAATGAGTTGTGTATGCATCATAAGCATGCAAGATAGCAAGAAAATAAATTATAACACCCCCTACCTTAATTTGAGATGAAAACTTCAAAGGCCCACCGAAATAAAAGTACGCCGAATCCGACGATACCGAAGGGTTTTATCGGGGACAACACGGTGAACAAGAATCCCCAAGCGGCCCCATGAAAAACACAACTTGAACTTGAAACCTAAACTCAAATGTGGTCAGAAATGGATTCCAACAAGGGTGAAAGATAGAACATGACGAGGGAAACAATAAACGTTAAGGCCGAAGAATTTTCACCAAGGAAAAGTGGTTCAAAGGAGGAGAGAGAAGGTGGTAGCCATGGCTGCCATGGATTCTGGCTAGAAGAGAGGGGAGAGAGAGAGAGAGATCTGACTTTTTGACTTTAAGTCCCCTATTTATAGAAAATCTTAAAAAGTGCCCCGAAAGGGCCTTACTGGGTTTGGAAAAGTGGAATTTGAGCAAACGCGCTCAAACGGCAAAACTCCATGAACAAAAAAGATTCAAAATGAGAAAATATGAACAAC